TTTTTATCTGGGATAAATTATATAAAAATACAGTTCTGAGGATTATGTGAACATAGGATTATTTAAAAACTACACTCAATATTGGGCTTTGTGTCTGATGAAAGCAATTCTAAACCACAGAGAAAGAATTGCAGAGATGCAAGCTGAACTGCAGAGAAAAGAGACCGCCTTACAAAAGCAGGTAAATTGCATTCTGATAATTGCAGAATCCTCTAGCACCAGCTACTGTCTTTTATAATGGACTGTAAAAGGCCTAAACATACAGTGTTTGGTGTGTTTTCTTTTTCAGAAGGCAATTTACAAGAAAAAGGCTCAGGACAACTGGGTAAGAATCTTTTCTTTCTTTTTTTCTGTGCACGGTTGACCATGACTGGCATGTGAATATGTTTTTCTTATGTAGCTCAGGGCTCGTGTTGGGATGAGGGCAGAAGTCAAACAAATCAGCGAGACCAACTTCTTGAATAGAAGGTAAAACACTGGGACATTTATTTTGACAGCTTATTTATGAACTTAGAGAGAGAGAGAGAGATGGAACAAGAATAAGATGGACAGAGAGTATGAAACAGGCTTTTACACAGGGTCTTCTTGCTTTTATCTACCCACAGAGTAAACCTGCCAGAAATATGGGCATGGGCACATGGGCATGAGCTTCTGAGGAGACCTCAGGTTGTGAATTTGGAAACTTCCTTGTGGCTTTACCATTGTAATGGCTTTACATCACCACTTGCCCCATCTGCTGGACAAAGGTGGGCATTTTTAATGGTGTTCTTGATTTAAGATGAAGCTAGTAAAGGATTTAGTTTTCTAATTCTTATCAAGCCCATTCTTTCTCTATCTACAAGGTGGCCAATAATGCAAAGTCAGAGGATGCCACAGGAACCCAGGCTGTAAAACACAATGTTGGGTGGATCTGGCATGGACATCCCTCCATGGGGAGGTAGGAGCATGCTGAAGAGGGGGCAGCTCAGATCCTGGTGCAAAATGTGTATTGTTCCTGGGGTGGTTGTTATACTGTTGACCTCAGGTTCCCCAGCCTGATGGTTCTTTGTGCCAGTTCTCTGTGAATGGTGGCACTCAGGTTCATCCACTGACTCTGGACAACAGAGCCCCCATGTCTCAGTTACTTTCCACTGAAAAATGTGCCTGGAAAGAAAATGGGTGAGCTCTTCTCTCCTACTGTGAGTCAGGGGTCAAGGCTTGAAAATGATTGAATCATTGGGAAAGTCAGAAGATATTTTTCAATGTTTCTTTATACAAAAATGTGTCATGTCTTTTCCAATAATCCAGTACACTATTTAAATTTTTCCATAACTTCATTCAGTTACATAATATGTTTAACCCTATCATGTATAAAGCACTGTGTTGTTTGTTTGTTTTGTTTTTGTTTTCTTGGAGAGGTTTTTGCTATAGGGCATGTGCTCTCACCAGACAGAGAGAGACAGCGACAGAAAGCGAGAAATCACCCCCCAGGGAGGATGGCCATGCCGCAATCCCTTCTCCTCCATTCTCCTCTTGGGATCTTGGGCACACACGCACATGTGCCCAGTGTGAGTTTTAAGCCACCGGGTCTGGGACACGAACTGCGGTCGACTACGTGGGAATCCAGCGACATAGCCATTACGCTAACTGCTGGTCCCACACTGTGTGTTTTTTTTTTTTATTACTCTCATTATTAGTCTCTTTAAGTTCATTTCTGTTCATATAATATATAATCCCTGGTAAGATATGGAAGGCAGTTTATATATAGACCAATATTGAAAGAATTCATTCAGGATCAAAGAAAATCTCTGGTGCTATTCATGTCATTAGTTTATTAACCTTCTTTCTAGCCAACAGGTTTTTATTTCACATTTTTTCCTTTGCTAAAATTGTAATTTCTCCTGTGTTCATTGGGAAGCCCCATTTTTATTTGTAATTATTAACTAGTTTGAGCCCTGATATATCTACTTTTGGTTGACTTTTTATGAAAACCCCTGCACTGTGTTCTACGGTATCTCTTTGAAGGTCAGAGCATGGACTTCCCATTGTTTCAGGGGTCATTTGAGGGCTCTGATAAGCCCTCTGCCTCTGATAGGAGACCTGAATTTGAGAAGAGTTAGACAGAAAAAATAAAGTGTTTGTAATCCATGTGCCCAAAACATGGAAGTCAGACTAAACCCCCATCCTTCTCTGGCTTTAGCAGACATGGGAGCCTGTGCAGTGTGCATGAAGAACAGCAGCTCAATCCCTCCTGAGGACCAGGACAAAGGAAAGGTCAAGGCTGACTTCATATTCCTTGTAAGGATTTCTGGATAATTTGTCTTTTTCTGTGACCTCTAATGTACCCTCATTCATGGTGTGTCCTCTGATATTTTAGCATGTCTTTATTTGTCAAAGTGCAAAATAATCTTCTATGCAAGTCTTGAGACTTCTAATAACTTGAAGCTGTTGTCAATGGTGGAGCCTGAAGAAGCTTGTTTACAAGCTGAGGACTGCAGATTAACCTCTACACTCCCAGTGAGGACCATCTGCTTTGTCAGCTAGTGAAACAGTGGGCCAAGAGGGGCTACAGGCTGGGCTCGTGTGGACTCCTGCTCTGCCTCCTTCCAGCTCTGTGATTCTGAGCAAATTCTCTAGTTCCCCTGAGGTCTCTGTTCTCTTCTATTTAGAGCCAATATTCTGTTAGGTGTGTTTAGGTCTGATGTAGCTTGTAGAGCTCTGAGAATCAGAGACAGGACATAGAAGACCTGGGGAAAGCTCTCCTATTGGTGGCTTTTGCTATATGTTAGGTGAGTGGGTTTTCTTTTTTTTCAATTCCCTCTGTTCCTAGTCTGAGTCAGACAAGATTTTGCAAAGTAGTGAGGGAGACATGGGTCTGGCATGTACATAGATGACCCTCTATCTGCTCTATGCCTCAGTGTCTCACATTAGCATAATTCCTGTTAAATCATTAAACATGTCATTAAGATTTTTTTTTATCTTCAGGTTTTTTTTTTAAGTTACATAATGCAAAATTTACAACCTCTCTTTTTGTGTGTTCACTAATGGACTATATATATATATATCAGTATAATGTAAATCCATTTCAAAATATAAAATGTTATGTTACCCCAGAAAGTGACCTCATCCTCTTCCCAGTCGAACCCTGCTCTCATCTTAAGTAAAAATTTGTCTATTCTAGAATTTCATGAAAAATAGATGCGTGCATGCCATGTACACTTTTTGATGTCTCCCTTATTCTTCTCAGCACAATGTTTCTGACATTATTCATGTTGTTACATGAATCAGTATTTCAGTTCTTTACATTTCTGACTCAGAACATTGATGATGTCCTATATGTCAAATAACTATGATAGCTTTGCTTAATTCACTGTCTAAAAGAAAATATTTAGAGTGAACCTGTTGGGTTCTGTTGGATTTATAGGAACATAGAGTTAATTCCAGAGAACTCAGTGAAGGGCAAATTTCCAAATCAGTCTGATGTCGAAGTGGTAGTCTTTGTCTTTATTTATATAAGATTCTAGAAGAAATCAATCCCAAGAATCTTAGAGCAATGTCACACTATTCATGCCATTAGGATTGTCTTCACTTTTTTTTTTTTTTTTAGAAGGGAGAGAGGTTTTTGCTATAGGGCACATGTGATCACCAAAAAGACAGAGAGAGACAGAGAGAAAGAAAGTGAGAAATCACCCCCTAGAGTGGATGACCATGCAGCAATCCCTTCTCCTTCATTCTCTTCTTGGGATCTTGGGCATGCATGCACATGTGCCCGGCTTGAGTTTAAGTCACCAGGTCTGGAACTTGAAACATGGTAGACTACATGAGAGTTCAGCAACATAGCCATTATGCCAACTCTTTTTCTCTTATCTCCACCTTTTATCTCAGCAGTGAAATTTAATTTCTTTTCTAAACAATGCCATATTTCTATTGTATTTTTTATGTATGCTGATCTTTAAATGATAAAAAAGTTTATAATCCATACCATCACTGGCATCATGGTTCAGGCAGCTGAATCCCACCTGGACAACTTGCAGTTTGAATCTCAGACCTGGATAATTGAGAAACACTCCAGATCCATGTGCTTGTGTGTCCAAAATACCAAAGGAGATATTTAGAAGAAGGGATTGGAGAGTGACTGTCCCACATGAGGGAATGCTTTCTCACCTTCATTCTCTCAGGAAAGAAGATACACACTCTAGAAAATAAAAAATAAAAAAAATCACCTAATTCAAGACAAAGGGATAGAAACAGGAGGAGATAGGGCCAGTGGTGAACTAATAATCATGCTCTCCTTGAAGATAACACCCACAGTCACAATATGTAACAACCAGCTACAGAAGAAAGCATGAGACTGGCAACCTCTGTTCTTCCTTGAAGCAGTGAAATCTCCTGGGGATTTGAGGGCCGAGGGTTATCCTTGAGAGACTGGTGTAGGATTTCTTTTTTTTTCTCTCTTTTTTTTTTTTTTTTTTTTTTTGGTTTTTTCCTT